GATTATTCCTCTCTATGAACGAACCAGTTATGGTCCGTCCCTCCTTCTATTCCTCTCTTCTTTATTTTTCTTTCCCTTTTCTCCCTTTCTTCTCTTTTTTTGCTTTTTCTTTCCCTTTCTCTCTTCTCCAGAATCTGTCCCGTTCTCTATTCCCTCTTTTTGAATTTTGCTACTATCATGGATGAACCAGTGATATTTCATCCATCGCTACCTAATTTTCTCCCTTTCTTTCTTTCTTTTTCCCTTCCTTTCCTTCTTTTCCTTATTCAATCAAAAACCCCCCAAATCAATTTCACAAAATTCTTTCCTAATTTGGTCGAACCCTAGCTTTTCAATTCTTCAAAAATTCATTTCAATTAGAGCTAATTGGCTTAATTTCTAGTGAAATCCGGTTAATTCAAACCTTAATGGACCCATTTCTTAAAACCCCCAATTTAATTTGTTCAAAAATTCAGGAACTCTAAAATTGAATTGAAATCAATTCTACTCCAATTTGGGGTTTAAACCCCAAATTGAAACTCCAATTGACTTCAATTGAGTTTAATTCATGCTTCCTAACCCTAATTTCAAATCAATTTCAAAAAACCTCAATTTTCCAACACAAGCCTAATCCTGTCAAAAAAACGAAATTAAAGAGAAATTAGACGAAATTACCTAGAAGGATTGGTGGAAAAGGATGTGGATTGCAGTTTCAATTAGGGTAAGTTTAATCTTTCTCTCTCTTTTTGGATTTCTCTCCTTTTGCTACTGATTTTTTTTTTTTTGGCTATTTGCCTTCAATTTTCGGGCTCCACTTATTTGGTTTATGAATTGTACACACACATACACACATATATGAATTGCTTGGTTGGTTCTCGGGGGATTTTCTGCAGGATATAGGTGTCAAGTAGAGGGTTGAATTGGACAGTGTTATGGGCTGTGGCAGTGGTGAGACTGTTAAAAGTAGGGGAGGCTGTAGGGTGATGCTGGAGAAATTTACAACAATAGGGGGTGCTGAAGGTTAACTTGGGTGATGAGAAAGTTGTTGAAATTTGCAACAATAGGGTGGTTAGCTTGATATTATTGACTGGAAGGGAGAAGCTGTGCAACAATAGGTTGGGGTTGACAGGATGGCTACAACAAAAGGAGGTGCTGAAATTGTTGACTATAGAGAGGAGGTTGTGGGCTACAAATTGCAGTAGTGACGGCTGCTGGAGATTTGACTTAGGGAGTTATTGTAATTTAGAGCTCAAGTTTGGAACTAGATTAATGAAACTTGATTGCTGAAACTGGAAACCAAATCTGGCTCTGAGTGAAGGAGAATTGCTAAAAACTTGTACATGAGATGGAGGGTAAGTGTCCCTCCATCTTTGTTTTTTTATGTAAAGATTGCAAATAATAAATAATTTTTTTCTTTTTTTTATCTATTTTCCTTGATTAAAATTTTACTTTTGTTAAGCATGAACTAAAAGAAAAATTAAACCAAATAAAAGTAAAATAAACAAAAAAAAATGAAAAAATAGATAAAACTAAGGTATGACATCATGTATCGCCTTTTAATGTTACATTAGCAGACGAGTCCATTGCTTTTATCCTTGGCTCTGACACTGTCAACTCAACTCCATTAATTTTCATGTCATCTGTATTGTGTCTTCTCATGTTTTTTTAATTTAATTTCTATGAGTAAACTTACTCATATCCTTAATTATTGTATCTCATTTTATCTTGATCATTGTCTATTTTAGGATCTTACGTTGAAGCAAATTATTGGCGAAGGACTTGAATTTGGAGGGCTCTACATTATGGGCACATAGGTGCCAAAATCTATTACTTGTTCCAATGTCTTAACTCCATTTGAGGTTCATTGTCGGTTAGGGTATCATTCTCTACCTTTGTTGAAGAAACTTTGTCCAGAATTTCATAGTATCTTTTCATTAGATTGTGAGTCATGTTAGTTTGTTGAACATCATTATCTTTTTACAAGTCCTAGAGTCCATAAACAGGTTTGTTTTTCTTTTAAGTTAGTTTATTCAGATGTTTGGGGTCCTTATCCTACTGCGTCTAAGATTGGTTTAAAGTTTTTTTTTTTTTTTTTTTTATGATTATTCTCGTGTCATTTGGCTATGTCTAATGAAAAATCATTCTAAGTTGTTTTTTTTATTTTTTTGCTTTTTGTGCTGAAATCAAAACACAATTTAATGTTTCTGTGCACATATTAAGAAGTGATAATGCCAAAGAATATTTTTTTTAGTCTTTTCAATCTTACATGATTCAGAATGACATTATTCATCAATCCTCTTATGTTGATAATCCATCTCAAAATAGAGTAGTCGAGAGAAAAAAATAGACATCTTTTTGAAACATCTCGAATACTCTTATTTCAAATGCAAGTTCCTAAACTATTTTAGGCTGATGTGGTTTCCACTATTTGTTTTCTTATTAACTGTATGCCTTCATCTGTTCTTAATGGTGAGATCCCTTATAGTGTTCTCTTTCCTACTAAGTCTCTATTTCCTATTGAAACTAGGTTATTTGATACTACTTGTTTTGTCCGTGATGTTTGTCCCCAGGTCACAAAACTAGATCCAAAATCTTTAAAAAAATTTTCCAGGCTACTTTCATCTTTAAAAACGACAGAGGTGCTATTGTCCCAGTATTAATTGATATCTTATGTCAGTCGATGTTACTTTTCGAGAAAATATTCAATTTTTTTCCTACTTCTTCTACTTATGCCAATGAAGGAGAGGAAGATGACTTGTTAGTCTATACTGTCACATATCCTTTTAGTTCTTCTAATGCTTCTACACCTACTAAGCCTCTTATTCTCAAGGTTTATTCATGACAAAAACCTTAAGATGCATGTCCTGCATCAATTCCTTCATCGTTAGATCTAGTACCAAATGATCTTCATCTTCATATTGCCCATAGAAAAGGTAAACATTAGTGTACTTATCCTATTTCTTCTTTTTGTCTCTTATAATCAACTGTAACCTTTTTTTTACTCTTTTATCATAGCTCTTGATTCTATCTCCAATCCCAAAATTGTTCATGAAGCCCTATCTCATCCTGGTTGGCAGAATGCTATGATAGAAGAAATGACTGCATTAGATGATAACGGTACTTGGAACTTGGTGAACTTACATGTAGAAAAGAAAGTAATTGGATGCAAATGGGTGTTTGTAATTAAGGTAAACCCTGATAGGTTAGTTGCTCAACTAAAAACCCGTCTTGTTGCAAAAAGATATGCTCAAACCTATGGTATGAATTATTCTAATACTTTATGTTCTATAGCTAAGATGACATCTGTCAGGTCACTCATTTTTATGATGGCCACTCATGATTGGCCTTAAGACCAATTAGATGTCAAGAATACCTTTTTACATGGTGACCTTCAGGCGGAAGTCTATATGGAGCAATCTTTTAGATTTGTTGCTCAGAAGGAGTACGAAAAAGTCTGTCATCTTCAAAAATCTCTGTCTGGTTTAAAACAAAGTCCTCGTGCTTGATTTGAAAAATTCAGTTAAGTAGTTGAAAAGTTTGAAATGACAAAGAGTAAGTCTGATCACTCGGTCTTTTATAAACAATTTGAAATTGGCATGATTCTTCTAGTTGTACATGTTGATAACATTGTGATTAGTAATACTACAAGATTTCATCTCTTAAATCCTTTCTTCACACTCAATTTCACACAAAGGATTTAGGGTTGTTGAAATATTTCTTCGGTGTTGAGGTGACCAGGAGTAAGAAAGACATTTTATTATCTCAGAGGAAATACATGCTTGACTTATTAGTTGAGACTGAAAAAATGAAAGCCAAACCATGCAATGTGTCAATACTTCATAATGTGTAACTCACAATAGATGGTGAGTTATTTAAAGATCCGAAGAAATACAGAAGATTGGTTGGGAAGTTGAATTACCACATAGTGACTCATCCTAATATTGCTTACTCTATTAGTGTTGCTAGCCAATTTATGTCTTTTTCGATAATTAACCATTGGGTAACTTTAGAGCAAATTTTTTGTTATTTAAAAGGAGCCCTTAGACGTAGCGTACTGTATGAAAATCATGGGCATACTCATATTGAGTGTTTCTCAGATACAGATTGGATAGGTTCTAAGATAGATAAGAGATATGTGGCGCGTTATTGTGTCTATGTTGGAGAAAATTTGGTCTCATGAAAGAGTAAGAAGCAAAATGTTGTATCTTGATTTAATGCGGAATTAGAATATAGAGCGATGACACAATCTATGTGTGAAGTAATATTGATATCTTGGCTCTTGACTAAAGTTGGTCTTAAGGCATCATCACCAACAAAATTATGGTATAATAACCAAGCTGCTATTCATATTACTTTTAATCCCGTGTTTAATAAACGAACCAAACATATTAAGAATGTTTGTCATTTAATTTTTTGAGAAAATACAACATAATTTGATTTTTACTGGGTATGTGAAGAATGGACAACAACTAGGGGACATTTTCACGAAGGTTAAGTATATTTGTAATAAGCTGAGCATGATTAACATCTATGCTTTAGTTTGAGAGGGAGTGTTAAAGTTGTTACAGGCTGTCTCTTGATTATAAGTATCTTTATTATAGGCTGAATTGTAAAAATACACAGCTTGACTATAAGCTTAATTGTAGGAATCAACAGGCGTGGTATGTATATATATGAGTATATGATCATGAACATACATATTGAAAAAGTTTTTATCAAAAATTAAAAACATGAAGTATTTTTTTTATCTAAATTAAAAAATATGGAATATATAATTAACTAGTACCTTGAGATTTATTAGTGGTTTCATATCCTCATTGTTCCCTGCAACCATTGAAAAGCTACACTTTTAGACAATTTTAAACAAATTAGGAAAAAAAAAATTAAATGTACGTGCACTGTGCTGGAACGGTGCACGTATGGAAGGAGGAAAAAAAAGAAAAAAAAAGCTAAGAGCACCTATGGAAGCTTGCCCTTTTTGATATCGTAATGGTCAATTTATAAAATATAATAATTTTGTGTCAATTCTCAACACATTTTGATATGACAATGGTCAATTTACTATTATTACCATCAGAAATCTTTTGAACTACCGCTGGAACGATCAGGCCAGAGTAAGAGTCACCGGCAATGTAAACTGGATTTGAGAGGAATTCTTGATGATGCATTAGCCACTATATAAAGCAATGAATAAGGAACCAAATCAACAGAAAAAATTAAATAAATCAATTAACAGATTCTGCCTATCCACAGTAGAACGGACTAGAAAGCTGTACCTTTCGAAGAAATTGATCAGCTTGCGAAACTTGCTTGAAGTCGCTTCTCTGGAAAGCAAGTGGGTTTCTTGCATAGGAGAATCCAGTGCCAGCAGGCAAATCTACAAATATTATGTTGGCAACCTGAAAATTATTCACCAGCTCAGCCATGTATAAGATTGTAAAAAATGGTCTTTCTAATCTAATAATTCTTGTTCAGTACAAAAAGCATTATCACCCGTGTCCATGAATCTGGATTCAAGACCAATGCAGGTAAGCTCCCATTGTACTCCTTTTCCTCGAATCTGATTGGACCTATGCATATATATAGTATCAGAAATATATGTGTGTGTGTCCGTTTCAATTACTGTACGTAATTGAGTTAGCTGCAGTCGCTTCTCTTACCAATTTCAAAAGCAAGAGCAGACAAGGAAGAACAACCAGGGCCACCAGTTAGCCAAAGCAAAAGAGGGTCCTCTTTAGGATTCCCCTGAGACTTGATGAAGTAGTAGAAGAGCTGCACATCCTGTGCTTCATCCACGCCGACATATCTGATATTTATTTGATAAATATCTCATTAATTTGTGTAATTTTATGCATGCAGTAGTGAAGTCTGAAAACAAATAAGTGAAGATCTGAAGCTCACCCGGTTTCAAGGTGGAAGGGAAGTGGCCCCTGAAACCCAGGAAGAAACTTAACAATTGAGTGGGAGACAGCAAGTCGTAACCAAAGCTGTAATAACAAAAGAAAAGGAAGGCATCGTTTGGCCATTGATTTTGATGGAGATATTGTTTGCTTGAGGTGTGCATTGAATTATGTATCTTACTTATTCCAGCTTACCAATTAAAATACAGGTTTTCTGGATCAGCAATATTTTTTGTCTAATTATTTATATTTCCTCGTGGTATGCATGGTGCCTACTACTGTGCTGTTTCCCAAGGATGCCTTTCCTCTTTTAAATGCTACTGGAAATGAAAAACCATTGATTAGATTTCAGATCTTGACCATTCAAAATAGAATAAGTTATTATAATGACTATAAAATTTACTTCGTCTATTTCATGAATATAAAATTTATGAAAAATAAGTACTAAAATGTCGGTGTTATTATTATATTAGACATTCAATACACCAACAAGTACTAAAATAATGGATGTCAGATCAGAAACTTTGATATTGTTAGTGGCGAGGTGATGTTAATTATTAGAGATTTGAGTCAAACTGACACCTCCACAGAGTAAACTAGTTTTTTTCACCCGTAAAGTATGAAATTATTTTTAAAACATTATTTCATTTTAATATTTCATATTATGTTATGTATCTATCAAAATATATTAAATCAAAATTAAATAAAATTTATTAAATTTATCATTTTTTTAATTAAAATTTTGTATTTAATTAATTATTATTTATATTTTTCGTAAATTTTTTATTAAAAAATATTATTTATTTATCTCTATTCATATTTTTAACTAAAACCTTATTTTGTAAATTTTCTTTTTTAAATATCTTTTTACCTTAAAATTTTTAATTAAAAAATTAAAAAAAAAAAGAATTAAAGTGACTAAAATGAAATAAAAAATAAAATTAAAATCAAATAAAAAAAATGTTTACGAGACTAAAATCATAAAAACTTTCATAATAAATATCTATAAAATATTTAAAAACTAAAAAACAGTGTATTTGATTTTAGATGAATAATATAAATGAGTATATGGGTAAGCAATGTTTCAAATAATATAATGAATAGTAATTAATGTTTTTTTTTTAAAAAAAAATAATTCACAGGTTTAGCGAATGACATCTAAGCCTATTGCATGGATTGGGTTTATGTTTCTTTTGGGTTTAAACTCGTTTTTTCAGCCTATTGCATTTTGGACTCATATTAGCCCATTCTGCGTGCCATGAGCATGTTCGTATATGGGGAAAACGGGCCATTTAGTGCTACTCGTTTCTTATACACTTGTTCGGTGTCCCTTCTAAATGGAATAAATTATACATTAGTCCCTCTAATTTTGAGAAACAAATTATTAATCTCTTTTATTTCAACAACTAAATATTTAGTTCAGTGACCAATGATGAATATATTTAATTTAATATTATTTTATTTTATTAAAATATTTTTTTTCTCACCGATCCTTCCATTTTTTAATTATTTTTTAAAATAAAAAATTGAAAAAACAAAAAATATTAAGTTACAAGAAAATTTAAAAATAAAAAAACTAAATAATTATTTTTAAAACTAGATAAACTAATTTAAAACTTCATCCTTCTAAATATCTTTTGGTTTTTGGAGAAGAAAATCAAAGACATCCTTATCTAATGTCTAACATATGTGTGTGGAGGTGTATGTATGCGTGTGTAATAAAATAAATCATAGTTCAACAAGCTAGTTATATAATTTAGATGTTGCAACGGTTTGAGTAAGTTGTTTTATAAAAAAAGCATATCAATTTCTTAAGAAAAGTAAAAAGAAAATGTTTCTAAAAGGGGGAAAAATCAGCTTCACAGTACAAGAAAAAGAAAATGACCATATAGTGATAGTATCATCTGCCACAATAGGCAGGTGTAAGAGCTTCTTAAGGTTATTATGGCAGTTAACATGTTATTCGAGGACACGTGCGTAGCTAAAAGGCATTATGAAATCAAAACCTTTTGTATTTTCCAATAATATGGAAGAAAATGCTGCTTGCTCGCTAATTAAATCGTAATTAAGGAGTAGTATGAGGATGTGATTGGCTCATCAGATTATAGATTCAACTTGTATATATCTCGTGTGCTGTCGTGGGGTAAGTTATACAATATTTTTATATGTCCATTCATATAAAATATAAAATTTAAAAATAATTATGTAAAAGGATCACGTGAAAAAATTCAGAATGAGTTATACAACATTCTTATGTATTCATTCATATAAAATATAAAATATAAAAATAATTATTTAAAAGGATCAAGCAAAAAAAAAAAAAAAAAAAAAAAACCAAAACATATATCTTATATTTTGTCGTAGGGTTAGCTAAACGAAAAGCCTGCAAAGCAAAGTTGAATAATATAATGTTGCTAATTAGATATTGTTTTATATAAGCATGTATTTTATTAGAAATATATATAATAATTGGTAATTAAAATAATAATGTGGCAGTTTTTAAATTTTATATGATTAATTTTTATCATATATTCTTCATCCGTAATTTGTTAATGAGATAGAGAGACTACCCAAAACAAAAGGACAAAAAACTTTGTCAAATCAAGAATTTGGCAAAAAAAAAAAACAATAATAATAATAATAGAGATAAAATTATATATGATCAAAATTAAATGATTAAAAAAATAAAGATTATAAAAGAATGATAAAAAAAATTTCACTAAAAGCAAAAAAAAAAAAAAATTATAAACAATAAGACTATGAGCGAGTTTTACTAAAAGCTAAGAAAAAAATATTTATTATAGAGACAAAAATCAAATATGATAAAATTTCAATATTTATTATAAGGACAAAAAATTAAATATAATTAAATTTAAATGAATAAAATAATAAAAGGTTACAAAATAGGAACTAAAATAAAAATAAAATTCACTAAAAGCCAAAATAGGGGCTTAAAATACGGGAAGAGGAAAAAATGATTTACTATAGGAATAAAAATTAAATATAATATAATTTTAATGATCAAAATAAAAAAGTTACAAAACAGGGACTAAAATAAAATTTTAATATTTATTATAGGGACAAAAATGAAATATAATAAAATTTTAATAACCACAATTAAAAAATTACAAAACATGGATTAAAATAAAAATAAAATTCACTAAAAGCCAAAAGAAGAGCTTAAAAAATGCAGCAAGAGGAAAAAACAACTGATTTATTATAGAACTAAAAATCAAATATAACAAAATTTTAATGACTAAAATAAAAAAAGTTATAAAATGGGGACTAAAATATAAAATTAATTTAAAGTCAAAAGAGAGGCTTAATGCAGCAAGAAAAAAAAAAAACAGTTAATGAACAATAGAAAAGCTACAATATTTTAGCGTTTTGTTTTATTTTTTCTTGTAATTTATTTTTGAAAACCTTCTTTCCTTTTTTTTTTTTTTGTTTTATAGCATTAGACGACATGAGCTATTGGTAGATTCACAAAGTACAGCTCTTAGAATCGATTCAAGATTGAAAGTTAAGCATGATATGATATTGATGTAACATAGTGTGTGATGAATTTGCTCTCAATTGACGTGAAATTTGATTCGAAAAATACCCACTAACTCTAATATATAAAATTAAATAAATAAATAAAAACAAAAGAACAGAAAAAAAAAATCGTAATTCATAAAGTTATACAAAAAATGCCAAAAATCTCATTAATCAATAAAAAATATTTTTGGAATTCATAAATCAATTATACTACAAGTGATGTTATTGTATGTTAAGATTTGGCCATCGAAGCATCATTCAGTACTTGAATATTAGAAGAAACTATAAGATTATATATATATATATATATATGAATCCATCAAGTCTGATGTGGATGATATTTAACATACTTAATACCCAAATGGATATATGACTTAATCTTAGTATGTAAATTTGATTCGAAGATACTCTAAAGTCTAACACTAAAAACCCCACACACGTGCATATTGTATAGACTTCTTTTCTTTCTTCTTTCCTTTCTTTTTTTTTTTTTTTAATTGATGTGTAGATAATATTAGTTGGATACCCACGCTATGTCTGCGGGTAGATAACCATTATATATATAAGGTTAACAATTCGTATATTGTAATATAAGTAAAAAGTTTTATTTTTGGTGATTAATATAAATCGAATCTATATATAGTTAATTTTTAACAAAACTAATGATATATATATATATATATATTCGAGTATATAGAATAAATAGTAAAATTAAAAGAAAAAACCACCTAAATTGTAGAAATATATCGAAATCAACATATTAAAATAAAAACTACAGCAAAATTGTTTCGATAAATTCGAATAAATATATATAAAAAAGCAAATAAAACTTGTGAATTTTTTTTTAACTCATTGTTATTTTTTAAAAAAATTGAGTCAAATTATCTAAAACATATTTTTAGCTTTCTCTTTGTATGTGTGCGCGTGTGTGTCTATATATAAATATATAAGTAAAACACTCATTTAAAAATATAAAAATAATTTATTGTATAAATTATAATAATATATTTTTAAAAAATAAAAATTGACGTTCTAAATTTTTATTCCAAAATTCATATATTGAAAAACCAAATTTATTAACAAATAAAATTATATCAAAAAATTAAAAAAAAATTAATTTAATGAGAATTTTAATAAGAAATAAATAATTAAAGAAATAAATTTTAAACAATAAGAATAAAATAATCGGATATGTATATTAAAATCAATATCAAAGATATAATTAATATTGGTTCAAGGACATTAAAAATACCAATAATATATATGTTTTTTTCCCGGAGAAGGGACCAATTATATATGATTGCTTAACTTATAGCACTTATGCTATGACAATACGTATATTCTTTTAAGAGTTTTCTTTTACCTCTTGGTGATACAATCCCAAAATACATCAAGATTTAAAATAATTAGCCAGCTTTTTTTTTTTTGTTCTATCATGAGATTGATGCCCGGACTTTTAAAAATATAAAATAAATTATATGAAGAAAAAAGAGAGCAGGGTCACTCCTAGTTGGTGTGTGTGTGTGAAAAAAGAGCAGAGTCGCTCCTAGTTGGTGTGTGTGTGTGTGTGTGTGTCTATATATATATATAACCCACTTAAATTATATGGAATATGTCGAAGTGAATAGATTTAAATAAAAACTACTATAAAATTGGTTTAAATAAATTCTGATTATATATTTATATATAACCAAATAAAACTGTAAATTTTTTAAAATAATTATTAATTTTTTGAAAAAAATTCAAGCCAAATTATTTTTTTAATCGATTATTATTATTTTTTAAAAAAATGAAGTCAAATTATTTAAAACACACTTTTAGCTCTTTCTCTCTCATTAGAATTTATATAAGCAACACCACCATTTTCATATAAAAATTATAAAAATAATCAATCGTATAAATTATAATAATGTATCTTAAAAAATAAAAAAATCATGTTCCAAAATGTTATTTCAAGTCTTATATATATAAAAAATATTATTAACAAATTAAAAAAGAAAAGATAAACTAAATCTCAATAGCCCAACCTCGTTAAAAAAAAAAGAAAAGAAAAAAGAGATGCCAATTGGGGAAAAAAAATAAAAAAGCTATAGTAATATGATTGTGAAAGATGCTATAGTAATGAGACGTGGAAGACCAGTTTAGTAGTTTAGGTCTTTAAGAAGGAAAAAAAAAAAAAAAAGGGAAGGGGGACTGTAGCATGAACAGTCTCACCCCCATTTGGTTTAGTTTTTTAGTAATATTCTCCATAAATAACATGCAAGGACAAATGAACATAACTTCAATAAGCAAGTACAACGTTTTTTTTTTAATTCTTTTTATTTTTATTTAAACTCATTGGACCAACAATATACACCAAACATCTTTTCATTCCCTACTTTCAAAAAAAAAAACCTACAATTATCCCCAAGAATATTGATTGTATAGTCATGGTTCCTTTTATATATATATCCCCAAGAATATTGATTGTATAGTCATGGTTCCTTTTTTTATATATATATATATATATATATAAATAAATAAAGTGTTTCTCTTTATGTAATTTAATTACATAAAATAAAATAAATTTGATAGAAGCAACAGTTACTCATTAGAAAATGATGTTTCTACAAAATAAGCCTCAAACGCGGTATAGGATCCATCTGAAAATCTACTACAATATGGCCTTGAGTGTGGAAGGTAGCATTATCAAAACAATTGATAATAATCAGCATCAATGAACAAAGTTACGGAAGTTTGGATTTCTTAACAATGATTATGCAATAGAGTCGTAAATATGATCTGCCTCTTTCACATATTATGTCGTGTGGTTAGGACCAATTAGGTAAATCTGCATGCCTAACTCTTCTTCTTCCTGCTTAATAAGTTCATGAGCAATAGCATTCACTTGACCATTGTAGTGATTTTGATGCGTGGGATTAACGTTCTTTTTGTGGTCTTGAAAGAGACAATTATAAACTTGCCAAAATGTGTGTGTGGAAGAGCATACAATACCAGCAAGGCAGAAGCCGAGTGACTAACATGTGACTGGTCAAAATCCGAATGAGAGGAGTTTTAAGTAATGTATGGTGTGTGAGTAGAAGAAAATTGAGAGAGAGAATTCAGAGGTTTTTTCTAGAAATCAACTAGTTGGAATAAAAAAAAAAAAAAAATTCATCCACTCATAATAATGCAAGGTTGGTATTAATAATAAATTGAAAATAATACTTGACCGCTAAGATTATATCATGTCATCTATATTTAGATAGTCATTTAAATTGAGAAAATTATGTTTTTTTGGATTAAATTGCTTAAACTTGCTAACAAATGTTAAATAAAATAACAATTGAGTCTTTCTTTAACAAATACTTATTTAAAGTCATCAAACCAATCTTCCTAATGTATTTTAAAGACAAAGCATGAACAACAGTCTAGTTAGAATATCCCTAGCAATCATTTTGTGTTTGACAAGACCCACTTAGTCTAATCTATATGTTGTGTAGCTTTCTTAGTCTAATCTATATATTGTGTAACTTGAACTCATGTCAAAACCAATGAAATGAAAATAACGTAGATTAGCATGTAATAAAATTAGCTAATTTATTTAATTAATTTTAAAGAAAAATTGAGCATATACAAAGGAGGAAAAAAAAAAAAGTACCGTGCTTTCTTTATTTGTAGTAGGATTCGAATACAAAATCCTTTGGAATATCTAAAATTGAGTTTCGCAGATGCAATGCCAGTCACCATAACCCTTTACAACGTTTTTGGTTGCAGCCTAGTTACAGGGGTTCTTGAATTATCCACCTTTTGAACATGCCAAAACATTCGGCAGGCTTGTGCTCGGGAGCTGTGTGGCCTCCACCCTGAAATTAACCAAACAATGAAGCAAAAAGAAGTTTGCTTGAGAATAATTAATGCAAGAATTTTCTACGCAGCAGAAATGTGAAAATGTCCAAATTCCTTACCTTCACAGTGGCAAATGTCAATTGATTAGAGTAAGTCCTTGTGTATCTGCTCAAGTCAAATATTGAAAACAATCATTTTTCTTTCTTTAGACGTAGGCTCTTCTACAAATTAACAAGAGCTAGCTTAAAAAGTTTTATGGGTACCACGCAAATCAAAACTAAGATTGATTTGAAGTACATACCCTGCAACTTGACCTTGAAAGTGCCATGGACGCCAGTCATCAACAATAGAGTAGTTTAAAGATCTAATCCATGCTTGAGTTCCCAAGAATGGTATGATCATGTCATGATCGCCACTATTCAATTAAAGGAGAGACTATATCAACCTCAGGGGGAAAAAAATACTGCAGTGTCAAAGTCAATTGATTAAGAGAAGAAATACATTAGTTTAACCTGTAGATTAATCTGCGATAACCTTTTATCCCAAGGTCTGTATGATACTTAATGCTGCTTTGAATTTCATAAGTGTAAGGAAATTTATAATCGCATCGCTGCCACTCCCCTATACTTCCCTGCATCAAAACAGGGTTGCCTTATTTTCTTAATGATTTCTTGCTAGCTACTTGCTGGTTAAAATTCTTCCTGCCATCAGTCTCATACCTTTCGCACATGGAGTGCTTTCCGGACATTATCGTCATTGGCCCAATAAGTAGCAAGGAGTTGTACATAATCCTATAACCATTTTCAAAATGAGGAAAGGACAAGAAGACAAATTTGTATAAATTCATAAAAAAGAATACGTTAATATTATCTGTTCTCTTGTCTTCCTGTCGGCTTTCATATCATACCCTTGTCATATAGTGACCTAAGTAATTTGTTAAATGATTTATGCTTTAAAGATTATCGTGTCCTGTCTAATGATGCATGTATATTGCATATCAAAAGTAAGAGAAAAGGGAATTACGTGACATCCAATTGTAGGAAGATCAGATTCAAAATGGAGGAATTCTTGAGAGTTCTCATTGAGATATCTTCTTTTGCCCAATTCTGTTGGGCGTGGGGGAACAAGAGGACACTTGCGTTCCAAAATATGTGACCTGTCAAGATCTGAAATGCACTGAGAAAGAAATGGAATTACATGCATTAATTGACCAGGTCCAAAGAATACCGTGAAGGGGATTCACAAAATGTATGTTATGGTCGAGTACCTTATCAAAAGCATCTACACTTTTCAAACACTCTGTATTGTTCGGGCCTATCATTTGATATTCTCCTCGACAACTTTTCTTCAATGACTGAAACAATTTGTGACACTAGTTAGCTAGACATAAGTCCGGGCTAGTAAGACATAATACCAATTGGATCACCTCGTAGAGTTCATCAGAAATAAGTCCCATTCCATGAGCAAATGGAATGTTTGAGTTAGCATCAAAAGTCGAATCAGTACTAGGGTTCCCAAGTATGTATCCCTGCAACCATACAAATTAAACCACCACTTCATCAGCAGACCTCAGATGTAAGCAGTACAAATAAATTCTTCTTTTCATTGTATTTTTTACATATATGGTACTCCTGTTATTTTGCAAGCAAAGAGGCATTTCTTTTATGGCAAGATCAAATTCACTCTGAAGTTATACAGAACTGTAACTGCAGTTCGTCCCAGATCACCTTGAACTTACCATTGACATTTGGACAGGACACCTCCAACTTAGAATCTCAAATTTTTCATTACAAGTTTCAGTCCAGAATTTTTAAGCTCCACCGCCTCTATCTCTCTAGAAATATCAAGGAGGTTGCTAAGACATTTTTAGCTAATTCTCAATGACAGTGGCACGAGGACAGTTTATTTGTTGAATTTTTTTGTTATTTAACTAATAATTATATTCATAAATTTTTTATCAATAAGCATTTGTGTGAGTGGGATAAATCCATGAGAACCATGTTATGCACCACGCAAGTAACATGTGGATCGGATCAGTGATCATTCTAGCTAATTCTCAATCACATCATGTTTTTGTACAAATAAGAGAGAGAATAATGGCATTTATAACTATAACCTTGAGATTTATCAGTGGTTTGATACCCTCATTGTTCCCTGCAAAATAGCTGGACTGTAAGATAATTTCAAACAAGTTCAAAAAAGGGAAAAAACAATTTAAGGTGCACAATGGACATGGTGGTTGCTTGTGCTTTTCATATGACATAACAACATTTCAAACAGCTAAAAACACAATCAAATTAAATGGTTCATAGCTTTTTCTTGTGCACCGTATGTTGACATAAGTTAAGAAGCAAGAGCTTGATATCATAATGGTCAATTTGTTATCATACCATTAGAAATCTTTTGAACAACAGCTGGGACGATCATGCCGGAGTAGGAGTCACCGGCAATGTAGACTGGATTTGAGAGGAAATCTTGATGATCCATGAGCCACTGTATAATACAATCAAGTCATTGATCCTTTGTATCAAAATTACCCTAAAACTTTAAAAAATCCTACATGAAGGAGATCCATCCCTTTCCAAGGTTTTCCATCCATAACTCCACTCAAATTGTACCTTTTCGTTGTCATTTTGTAGGAAAATTAATGTTTTCCATTATGTAATTCTAACACAAGTCAAAACAATATAAGAATAGAATTGATACAAAAAATAATTAGGTGCAAAACTGATACTACTTCAATAGTTTGGAAGAAAATTCGAGGTCTGCCCTTAAATTAAATCAATTTACAGTTCTGCCTATCAGCCATAAAAAGGACCAGAAAGTTGTACCTTTCGAAGAAATTGGACAGCTTGCGAAACTTGTTTAAAGTCGCTTCTCTGAAAATCAACCGGAGATCTTGCATAGGAGAACCCAGTGGGAACAGGCAAATCTAAAAATATCATGCTGGAAACCTGAGAATTAATCACCAGCGCAGCCGAGTATAAGATTGTAAACAATGCAATGCAATTACAAATATAGAAATTCCTATTTGGTACAAAAGTCATTACACCACCTGTGTCCATGAGTAAGGATTCAAGACCAATGTAGGTAAGCTCCCATTGTATTCCTTTGCCTCAAAATTGATTGGACCTATGAGTATAAAAGATCAAAAATTCTTGAAATTACAGTGGTCTTGTTAAACCCAACTATAACTAAGTGAGCTGCAGTCGCTTCGCTTACCATTTTCAAAAGCAAGAGCGGTAAAAGAAGAGCAACCAGGGCCACCAGTTAGCCAAAGCAAAAGAGGGTCCTCTTTAGAATTCCTCTGGGACTTGATGAAGTAGTAGAAGAGCTGCAGATCCTCTGCTTCATCAACACCAACATATCTGATAATTCCACACACCCACTATTACATGTAAGTAATTTTTATCAAAATCACATTAATTTGTGTAGTAAAATCTGTAAACCAGTACAAGGGATGGTATAAAGCTCACCCGGTTTCAAGGTGGAAGGGAAGGGGCCCCTGAAACCCAGGAAGAAACTTGACTATTGTGTGGGAGATAGCAAGTTGTAACCAAACCTGGAATGAGAAAAGAAAAAGAAAGCAGAGTTTAGCCATTGATTTTGATGGAGACACTGTTGTCTTGAGGAATACATTGGATTATGTATCTTAATTTCTTACTCATCATTACAAACATCGGCTCCACAGCCAAGTCATCCTCTACACCAAGTCATATTAAAATATATCTAATTGTATAATTTACTTTAAATTTAACACTTGTCATTTAGATTTGCTTTAGATTTGAGTGGCCTAAAATCGCTCAACAGCCACCACACGTGTTTTTTGCTAGCTTATCTACTCAACAACAGGGCTTTGTCTGTCAGTTTTTTTTTTAGTCCCTAAAATTTGTTTTTTTTTGGATTTTGGGTTCTTTTTGCGTTAAAGTTTCGTGCTTTCTAGCGTTAAATGTGAATTGAGAGGAGGCCCAGATAAGATACTTTGCTGTTTCTGATGTTAATGCGCTTATGCTAGTGATATGAGTAAAGGGTGTTTGAATTCTTTGTCACAGTTAGATTTTTTGTTCAAGAAAGAAACAACAAGAGGCAATCAGTGACCCTTTTGGTCGAATTTGTAATAATTATGGTGTTATGATTGTGAGAAGTTTCATAGGAGCTAATTGTTCAAGGACCAATGAATTCAACTGAGAATTAGAAATCACAATAGTTGATGTGGTTGCCTATTTGGATGCTCTTGTCCATTTTGTTCGTGGGCTGTCGGTATGCACTACGCTGTTTCCACTGCACTTGTGTGCTTAAAGAAAGAAAAAGAAAAAGAAAGAAGCAGCTCTCTATGTTTGAAGGAGCTTATAGGCCTAAGCCCGGGATTGTATTAGACCAACACCTTGAGATATCAAGACAGATAGATGCAAATGCAACCTTAAGTTCCTTTGAAGACCTATAGAAAAATTCTAGAGAAGGACAGTACTTGAAATGAATGATGACTTAACAAAGATGCGTGAAGCCACAGCACAAGTATTTGACCTTGCATTTATTTCCTCCTTTAGTTACTATTGTTTCCTTTTCTTCCCTGTTCTCTTAATCTTTTTTTTTTTTTTTCCTCACTTTCTACCTTTTATTTTATTTTTTATTCTGTTTTTTTTCTTCTTCAATGTATTATAAGCTACAATATGTCATATAGTCAACACCAAAATGGTAGAATAATTAATAGACATGAAACTTCTAGGCTTCTCAATATCCTGTCCTGTCGATATGGAATTTCTTTGTTCTTCCCTTTTTAAGTCATGATGTTCTTCTTTTATGTTTTATTTAGGTTTTGGCTTCTCAAAAACAGTTGGAAAATAAACATAATGCCGCGCAATAAGCTTTTGAAGAATGGTAAACCATCGTTAAAGCTATTATTAGCAACAAAGGAAAAAACCATGCCTGTCTCTACACCGTTTCCCCTCTGTAAGTAGCTTTATTTCTTTTGTGTTACCTTCCTAATGCTTCTTTTGTAGTGCAATTCTGTGTTCCTGTAGGACTGCAACGAAAGTGGATGAAATGCCGAGAAATGATAAGACAAGCAATTTACTTCAGCTTTTGATTAAAACGGAAGAGAAAGGTAAGGCACTTGGAGCTAATCTCTTCATCTAAACTCTATTTTGTATGCATTTCCTGCCTTCCGATAATACCTACTGGAAACAGAACATTATGACATGTTTGATATGCCAGTGGTTCTAGAATCCACTTACATCTATACATCACCCTAAATGCACACAACTGTTTTCCTATATTGCCAGTTCAGTCTGGCTAAAACTCAATCAAGCCACAATCTTTGTTTTCTCTTCGTTTCAAGTGAATGATTACAACTTCAAATTGATTCTTTCCAACTGTGACCTGGATACTTATCTAGGGTGTTTGTTTAACTTTTCCTATACTGGCATTCCAGCTATCGATGCTTATGCTAATTGTTGCTGTCTAGTCCAATCCTTTCTGTTTCCTATTCAGGCAACATATTTAGTCTCCACTAGATCACTTCTCCGTTTAATTCACCAACATGGCTGATCAAAAAATTTCTGCATCAACCGGAAGTTGTGCTCTCCCCTGTTTCAAGAGCTCGATTCTTTTCCTGCGTTTTCTGCGCCTGACTAGTACTCATTTCGAAATGAATTTTTCCGGTCCCTATCATTTTGGATATTGAGACCATCACTGTCTATATCACTGGTTCCTATATTGAATAATCAATAGTACCATCAGGTAGATACTGTTTATGGTTATCCTTCCATGATCAAATGTGGACATTGGTTGCTAAAAATGATGCTTGCAGCAGCACATCTGGATCCGATGTTAACTGTTCTGGATTATTACATAGTTTGGAATATCGTTTTCATAAATTTTTTAGAGAAGCTGGCTTGGCTCCTGCCCTGGCTTCCTTTTGACTTTCTAGTTCTACTTCCTTATTAGTATATGAGAAAAAAGGTGCTCTGTGATTCTCGTCATGTATAGATCTCCACTTAACAAGGCCTAAATAAGAAGCGTGTTGTTTGAATACTTAGAAAAATTCATATCCTGGTAGTAGTTTCTCGGATGGTGACCATAGAACCTGGACAAAAAATTATGCAGTTTACGTTATTTTAGAATAATTTCTGTCTACATTACAGAGGTAGTACTGTGAGGAGAGGAAGAGATTGTTAATGGGTTTAAAGCTTCTGTTGTGAATATATTTAGTTGTAAAATTCCTTCAGTTTCTATTTCCTTTTGTCTTCTTGAGAACACTCATTTCCATGATCCTACCAAACAAAAGGAGAACTTCCATCCTGAAGGATAGTTGTCACCAGCTCGAACAATCCGTTCTGAGATCCTGACATCGAGATGGAGCTCAATAAATTGAGGCAAAAGAGAAATAAATTTTGAAATATTTAATATTTTCACATGCAAACACCCAACTCGTAGTTGCAGGTACAATATCGGATTAGGTCCTGTTTTGGCAGCAAATTACTCTGTAAAGGCCAAATAGATGATCGTTGTATTGTTAAGCCAATTAAAATAAAACAAGTTTTGTTGAATGGGTTTGATGTTACCCACCGTTGTCAGATTTACCCATTTAACTATGCACTAGAGACAGCGATTTTCTGTTGGTATCTGATGGGGCTGCAGATTCTACCCTTGCCGCTGTGTGAACTGTGGCCACCAAGCCAATAGTTCACTTGGGCAGCACAAGCCATGAAGCCTTCTTAGTAGAAAGAGTCAACTATAATGCAACTGATGATTTTGGTTTTGCCAAACACGGCAAATTGTTTACACATTAAGCAGTTGATTATCACTATTGAACTTCTTCCCTGGGCTCAGGCTAGGCTAGGAACTTGCGCGCATCCAAAACAGGTAGGAGATAGCGGTGCATGTTTTACGTGTAAAGGTCATGATTTCTAGCATCAGCATGCAAAAACACTATTATTAAGTTGTTGATGAGTCATATATAGCTATTCGACAGTAATTGCTCATGTTTACATTGCGGGTGTCACATTTGGTAAAAAAGACTTGATTGATCCAAGTCGTATGAATATGGCAAACTGCATGTTTAGCAATTTCTTCTTCTGATTAGGCTTGTTTTAAAGAAGGAGGACATGACTCCATCGATTATTTATAATGTTACGAAAATTCGTTTGCTTTTTTACACTGTGAATTGGGAGGGGGCCTTCGTTGGAGATAGAACATGTTGATCGATGTTTTCTTTTGATTTTTACACTTTAATCAGCTGTCCTCTTGTTCCTAGTTGCAGGTTTATTTTATCTGGAACAACAATAGAAAATGCTACAAAAGTTATTTATTTTTCGAGAACGTAATTACGTCAAACAAAGCAACAGGAGATTGGGCTGCGAAGAAGTGAAATAGAGAAAATGAGAAATATTCTAAAGCAGTAATAACTGACATACGACTATGAATGAATGTCTGAAATGACTCAAAAAAACATTTGTGTGCAATTGCTGATAGTAGGACAGAAAGGCCATACCAGTTATTCTTACTGCACATTATTTTGTTTACCTGCATATTCATGCATGATGTACCCCCTTCTTTTCCAGTGCAGGCTGCATTTTTGGCATTATTTCTGATCAGGACAGAGTCATAATCGCCCCTTCAACTCATTCTTTTTTCTTTTTCTTGTTATTCAAACTCATTGGACCAACAATATGCACCAAACATCTTTTCATTCCCTCCTAAAAAAGCAAAAAAACACTGCAATTATCCGGGAGAATGTTGACTGTTTAGTTAGCCACTAGTCGGATACCGCGCTACGCTACGGGTAGACAACGGTACTTAAGTAGGATTAACAATTCGTATGATGTAATGCCAATAGAAAATTTTATTTTTTATAATCAATATAAATCAAATCTATATATATATATATATATATATCAGATTGAGAATATATAGAATAAATAGAAAAATATACAAAAAAAACCCACCTAAATTGTAGAAATATATTGAAATCAATAGATTAAAATAAAAACTAGAACAAAATTGGTTCGATAAATTCTGAATAAATGTATATAAAAAAACAAATAAAACTTGTGAATTTTTTAACTCATTATTTAAAAAAAAAAATTGAGTCAAACTATCTAAAACATACTTTTGGCTCTCTCTCTCTCTCTACATATATATATTAAAAAATAAAACACTTATTTAAAAATATAAAAATAATCTATTGTATAAATTATAATAATATATTTTAAAAAATAAAACATTGACGTTGTAAAATTTTATCCCAAAATTCATATATTTAAAAACCAAATTTATTAAGAAATAAAATTATATCAAAACATATTTATTAACAAATAAAATTATATCAAAAAATTATCAGCCATTACAAATTTTCAATAAAATCAAAAATTAAAAATGTTTCAAAATGACCATTGTAACCTAAAAATATATTTGTTAATCATGAGCCCCATATATATATATATATATATATGAAGAAAAAAGATAAAAAAAAAATTGATAGAAGCAATAGTTACTCATTAGAAAATAATGTTTTTACAAAATAAGCCTCTTAGCACTCAAAAAATGCTTTGACACTGGCAATAAAAATGTTCATCCCTTTTCAGTAACCCTTCACACTGATGCTTGGATGAAGGAATGAAATCACACTTATTGAAGAAAGACCTTCCTATCATTAAGTGATAGGATGTAGGACCATTAATGATGTGGAGAGAAGTCAGATGTCGTATAGGACCCATCTGAAAATCTACTACAATATGGCCTATGGCCTTAAGTGGGAAAGGTAGCATTATCAAAACAATTGATAATAATCAGCATCAATGAAGAGCATGTCATTCTCATAGTTTCTTGTCATTTTTCCAACTAGATATTCAGCTGCAAAACACTCGCCATACTGTCTTTTAGAGATTTGCACAAAAACCACCACAGTTGCTTGCTTTGTTTTTTCATTAAACCTTAATAGATTAACAAAGTTACAAAAGTTTAGATTTCTTAACAGTGATTATGCAATAAAGTTGTGAATATGATCTGCCTCTTCCATATATTGTGTGGTGCGGTCAGGACCAACTAGGTAAATATGCATGTCCAACTCTTCTTCTTCAGCTTAATAAGGTCATGAGCAATAGCATTCACCTGGCCATTGTAGTGATTATGATGCTGCGGTAGATGATTTTCTTGGATATCATCTTCATTGTAAAAAACAATCTCCTCCTTGTTAATTAAGTTTATAATAGAATATGAACCTTAAATGATGACATTTTTTTTGTTTGGAGCTCCACGTATCTATGGTATCAATAGTATTCGGTTTTGCTTTATCTTCTTGAGAGGGTAGCCTCCTTACCCATAGGACTCTGATAGCTTGGTCAGCCACCCAACGAGCTAATAGAGTATAGACCTTGTACATAGTTTATAAAAAACTATGGAAAAGATGGTGGCCAATTAACCTCCTAATTGCTGTCTTAAAATCTGCCACTAACTCTTCTATTTGGTCACTCATCCAGCTAAGTGGCATTAATTGATAGATCGGTATTTGTACTACTAATATTAGGGATGAAATTATTTCTTCTTGAGAGGATGATGAATTATTGGTTCATCGATTGTTTTCCACTAAGGTAGAAAAAGTGATCAAACTTAGATTTTCAAGATGTATTGTGTACTCTCTGTGTGTGACTTGAATACATAACAACTTCCTTCTCATCAAAACCATCTTGGACGTCTAGGGTACAGTCTTAGAATCGTTCAATAGACTCTAACAACTCTTTTCTAGAGCCTTGATTTTTTCTTTCTAAACCAGACATGGTCACCTTCTCATAGATAGAGAAAAACTTCTCAATAAATAATTTGCACTTGTTTGCCTATGTTTGAACAGAATTAGGGACTAGATTCACATATCAGGTGTATACTTTCTCAATTAAGGATTTGGAAAATTCTTTGACTTTAAATCATCATCTAGGCATAAACACCTAAGGTCTCTATGAACTTTATGAGATGCTCATTAACATCTTCTTGTTTTTCATTAAAAACTTTAAACTTGAGACTCACAATACTTCGGATAAAACCTTGTGGTAATGTGTGTTGGATAGAGAAGTTTGATGCCAAACTAGCTAGTGTTGCAAGTCTTTGAGTTGGTAGCAGGATTAATATTCTTCTTGGTGGGCTTGGAAGAGGACAATTATTCTTTTACAATCACTATCTCTCCAATAAAGTTGTCAAAATGTGTGTGTATGTGTGTTGGAGGTGGGAGGGGGTCCTTTAGAATTGATCAATAGACTAGTTAAAATACAAAGAACTAGTATTATGATTTGTAGAAGCAACAGTCAACCAACCAAGTAGAATGAATACAAAGAGCAAGAGGCATAGGAGGCAAGGCAGAAGGCAAGTGACTAACATGTGGGTGGTCAAAATGCAAATGAATGGAGCTTTAAGCAATGTTTCGTGTGTGAGTAGAAGAAATTTGAGAGAGAGAGAATTCCGAGGTGCTAGAAATCAACTATTTGGAATCAAAAAGTTTTCACCTATTCACAATAATTTGAGGTTGGTATTTATTGTAAATTAAAAATGACACTTGACTTGTTAAGATCGTGTCATGTTATCTATATTTAGATGATCATATTTAAATTGAGGAAATTATGTTCTTTTGAACTAAATTGTTATCTATATTTATACAATCATATTCAAATGGAAGAAATTAAGTTTTTTTTTAACTAAATTTCTTTAACTTGTTAATAAAGTTTAAAAGAAATAACAATTGAGACTTCTTTTAACAATCATGCTTTGAAGTCACAAAACAAATCTTCTTAATACATTTCAAAGACAACATGAATAATGAGCCTGATAGAATATTCTTATCCATCCTTGGGCAGTCTAAAATTTTGTACTGAACGAGATCCATTCTTAATCTAATCTATTCTTAGTCTAATTTATATGTTATGTAGCTTGAATTCATGCCAAAACCAATGAAAATAACGTAGATTAACGTGTAACAAAATTAGCTAAATTATTTAATTAATTTTAGAGAAAATTTGAGCATATGCAAAGGAGGAAAAAAGAAAGCACTGTGCTTTCTTTATTTAGAGTAATAGAATTCGAATATAAAATCCTTTAGAATATCTAAAATTGAGTTTGGCAGATGCAATGCCGTTCACCATTTCCCTTTACAGCGTTTTGGTTGCAGCCTAGTTACAGGGGTTCTTGAATTATCCACCTTTTGAACATGCCAAAACATTCTGCGGGCTTGTACTCGGGAGCTGTGTGGCCTCCACCCTGAAATTAACGAAACAATGAAGTACAAAGAAGTTTGCTTGAGAACAATTAATGCAAGAATTTTCTACACAGCAGAAATGTGAAAATGTCCAAATTCCTTACCTTCACAGTGGCAAATGTCAATTGATTAGAGTAAGTCCTCGTGTATCTGCTCAAGTCAAATATTGAAAACAATCATTTTTCTTTCTTTAAAAGTAGGCTCTTTCTACAAAACTAGGATTGATTTGAAGGACATACCCTGCAACTTGACCTTGAAAGTGCCATGGACGCCAGTCATCAACAATAGAGTAGTTTAAAGATCTAATCCATGGTTGAGTTCCCAAGAATGGTATCATCATATCATGATCGCCACTATTCAATTAAAGGAGAGACTATATCAATCTCAAGGGGAAAAAAATACTACAGTGTCAAATTCAATTAATTGAGAGAAGAAATACATTGGTTTAACCTGTAGATTAATCTGCGATAACCTTTTATCCCAAGGTCTGCATGATACTTAACGCTGCTTTGAATTTCATAAGTGTAAGGAAATTTATAATCGCATCGCTGCCACTCCCCTATACTTCCCTGCATCAAAACAGGGTTGCCTTATTTTCTTAATGATTTCTTGCTAGCTACTTGCTGGTTAAAATTCTTCCTGCCATCAGTCTCATACCTTTCGCACATGGAGTGCTTTCCAGACATTATCGTCATTGGCCCAATAAGTAGCAAGGAGTTGTATATAATCCTATAACAATTTTCAAAATGAGGAAAGGACAAGAAGACAAATTTTTATAAATTCATAAAAAACAATACGTTAATATTATCAATTCTCTTGTCTTCCTGCCAGCTTTCATATCATAACCTTGTGATATAGTGACCTAAGTAATTTGTTAAATGATTTATGCTTTAAATATTATTGTGTCCTGTCTTAGGATGCATGTATATTGCATATCAGAAGTAAGAGAAAAGGGAATTACGTGACATCCAATTGTAGGAAGATCAGGTTCAAAATGGAGGAATTCTTGAGAGTTCTACATTGAGATATCTTCTTTTGTCCAACTCTGTCGGGCGTGGGGGAACAAGAGGACACTTGCGTTCCAAAATATGTGACCCTTCAATATCTGAAATGCACTGAGAAAGAAATGGAATTACATGCGTTAATGATGAGTTCCAAGGAATACCAGGGGAAGGGGATTCACAAAATGTATGTTATGGTCGAGTACCTTATCAAAAGCATCTACACTTTTCAAACACTCTGTATTGTTCGGGCCTATCATTTGATATTCTCCTCGACAACTTTTCTTCAATGACTGAAACAATTTGTGACACTAGTTAGCTAGACATAAGTCCGAGCTCGTAAGACATAATGCCAAATGGATCACCTTGTAGAGTTCATCAGAAATAAGTCCCATTCCATGACAAAATGGAACCTTTGAGTTATCATCAAAAGTAGGATCAGTAACAGGGTTTCCTAGGAGGTATCCCTGCAACCATATAAATTAAACCACCACTTCATCAGCAAACCTCAGATGTAAGCAGTAAAAATAAATTCTTCTTTTCATTTTATTTTTTACATATATAGTACTCCAGTTATTTTGCTAGCAAAGAGGACTTTCTTTTATGGCAAGATCTAATGTACCCTGAAGTTATACAGAACTATAACTGCAGTTCGTCCCAGATCACCTTGAACTTACCATTGATATTTGGACAGGACACCTCCAACTTAGAATCTCAAATTTTTCGTTACAAGTTTCAGTCCAGAATTTTTAAGCTCCACCGCCTCTATCTCTCTAGAAGTATCAAGGAGGTTGCTAAGACATGTTTAGCTAATTCTCAATGACAGTGGCACGAGGACAGTTTATTTGTTGAATTTTTTGGTTATGTAACTAATAAGTGTATTCATAAATTTTTTGTCAATAAGCATTTGTGAGTGGGATTAATCCATGAGAACCATGTTATGCACCACGCAAGTAACATGTGGATCGGATCAGTGATCATTCTAGCTAATTCTCAATCACATCATCTTGTAACAAGAGGTCTAATGTACCCTGAAGTTACACACCAACTGTAACAGTAGTTTGTCCCATATCATGTTTCTCGCACACCCAAGGCTTCTAGCAGAACTAGCCTGCTAGGATTTAAACCCATGACCTCTTGTTACAAGAAACCACTACCACTGGGTTACAAGCTCTTTGGTGACACCTCCAACTTAGAATCTCAAATTTTCCGTTACAAGTTTCAGTCCCGAATTTTTAAGCTCCACTGCCTCTATCTCTCTAGAAATATCAAGGAGGTTGCTAAGGCATTTTTAGCAAATTCACAATGACAGTGGCATGAGGACAGTTTATTCATCAATTTTTTGTTAATAAGCATTTGTGTGAGAAGGGTAAATCCATGAGAACCGTGTTATGCCTCGCGCAAGTAACGCGTGGATCGGATCAGTGATCATTCCATCTAATTCTCAATGACATAATCTTTTGTACAAATAAGAGAGAAAATGGTGGAATATATAACTAGAACCTTGAGATTTATCGGTGGTTTGATACCCTTATTGTTCCCTGCAAAACAGCTAGACTCTGAAATAATTTCAAACAAGGTCAAAAGTGCACAATGGACATGGTGGTTGCTTGTGCTTTTCATATGACATAACAACATTTCAAACAGCCAAAAACACAATTAAATTAAATGGTTCATAACTTTTTCTTGGGCAACGTATGTTGACATAAGTTCAGAAGCAAGAGCTTGAAATGGTCAATTTGTTATCATACCATTAGAAATCTTTTGAACAACAGCTGGGACGATCTTGCCGGAGTAGGAGTCACCAGCAATGTAGACTGGATTTGAGAGGAATTCTTGATGATCCATTAACCACTGTATAATACAATCAAGACATTGATCTATTGTTTCAAAATTACCCTAAAACTTTAAAAAATCCTACATGAAGGAAATCCATCCCTTTCCAAGGTTTTCCATCCATAACTCCACTCAAATTGTACCTTTTCGTTGTCATTTTGTAGGAAAATTAATGTTTTCCATTATGTAATTCTAACACAAGTCAAAACAATATAAGAATAGAATTGATACAAAAAATAATTAGGTGCAAAACTGATACTACTTCAATAGTTTGGAAGAAAATTCGAGGTTTGCCCTTAAATTAAAGCAATTTACAGTTCTGCCTATCAGCCATAAAAAGGACCAGAAAGTTGTACCTTTCGAAGAAATTGGACAGCTTGCGAAACTTGTTTAAAGTCGCTTCTCTGAAAATCAACCGGAGATCTTGCATAGGAGAATCCAGTGGGAACAGGCAAATCTAAAAATATCATGCTGGAAACCTGACAATTAATCACCGGCGCAGCCAAGTATAAGATTGTAAACAATGCAATGCAATTACTAATATAGAAATTCCTATTTGGTACCTAAGTCATCACACCACCTGTGTCCATGAGTAAGGATTCAAGACCAATGTAGGTAAGCTCCCATTGTATTCCTTTGCCTCAAAACTGATTGGACCTATGCGTATAAAATATAAAAAATTCTAGAAATTACAGTGGACTTGTTAAACCCAATGATAACTGAGAGAGCTGCAGTCGCTTCGCTTACCATTTTCAAAAGCAAGAGCGGTAAAAGAAGAGCAACCAGGGCCACCAGTTAGCCAAAGCAAAAGAGGGTCCTCTTTAGAATTCCTCTGGGACTTGATGAAGTAGTAGAAGAGCTGCAGATCCTCTGCTTCATCCACACCAACATATCTGATAATTCCACACACCCACTATTAAATGCATGTAATTTTTATCAAAATCACATTAATTTGTCGAGTAAATTATGTAAACCAGTACAAGGGATGGTCTAAAGCTCACCCGGTTTCAAGGTGGAAGGGAAGCGGCCCCTGAAACCCAGGAAGAAACTTGACTATTGAGTCGCAGACAGCAGGTTGTAACCAAACCTGCAATGAGAAAAGAAAAGGCAAGCAGAGTTTGGCCATTGATTTTGATGGAGACACTGTTGTCTTGAGGTATACATTGAATTATGTATCTTAATTTCTTACTCATCCTCTACAATCAATTTATATTAAAATATACCTAATTGTATAATTTACTTATAAATATATCCTGTGGGATCCTTTCCTCTTAATTTAACTAAACCAATAAATTTAAAAACACCTGTCATTGATATGCATGCGTGCGTGACAGCAAATTGACTCGTACTTTAATGATTCCTGGCTTCAGATTTACCCATTTAATTATGCACTAGTGACAGCGATTTTCTGTTGGTATCTGATGGGGTTGCAAATAGACATGGCAATTATTCCTGAACTGTCGGTTTTGGTTTAGGAACTATCGGTTAAGGTTTCACCAAAAGGTGAAACTTTAACCAAACCTTCTATGGACGGTTTCGATTTTGATTTGAAACCGTAAAACCGACGGTTCAACGGTTTTTTTATTAAATGAAAAAATTAAAAAAAATCGAACATTTTTTCTCAATATTAACATTGAAACGAAAAAACTTCTTTTTGCATAATGTATAAATATTATAATATTTTTTATATTATAATGTATTTCACACAATAAATCAAAGAAAAAAAGAAATAAATAAAGAAGAGCTTGAACTTAATTTTTGTAAACACTACAAAAATTACATATCCTCTTGGGGTTTTAGAGAAATCAAAGCTTACGTAGTTCTCTTTTACATTTCAAATTACCCCTTTACAAATTACATCTATATTCTATATAGTTGTGCCTAGTTACTTTCTTGATCGGAAGTTCCGGCTCGAAGTTTTTGTTGTTGTGTCGTCGAGTGTTAGATCCATACTTTCTTCATTGAAATCATATTGTTTTTGTTCTTGTATTCTCTTGTCGACTCTTATCCAATCATCCACGCATACTTGGGCTTCAGTGACTCGGGAGCCAATTGTGATTGCCTATCATCCAAAATATTACCTCCGGAGCTAAATGCTCTTTCAACGGTCATTGTTGAAGTCGACACACCAAGTATTTGTCTAGCTATTATGGACGGGATCGGAAAGGTGCTTGCATGTCTTTTTCATCGATCAATTACTTCAAAATCTACACATGCATTGCTATCACCAAACTCAAACACGGTTGTTAGATAAATATCAAACTCGAAAGTGGAGCATGATGATCCTCTTTGCCTTTTTGTCCTTTTCATGGCCATAAGATAACCGACTCTAACACATTGGCTACTTGATGATGATTGTGGCATAGGTGGTAAAGATGAACTAGCATGTTGATCACTCACGTTAAAGATATTTTAATATATATATATATATATATATATATATATATATATATATATATATGTATATTAGTATATATTAATATATTAAGTCAAAATTTAAAAATTATTAGGCTTAATTTTTTTTTCATTTTCGATCCAACGATTACTTGTCCATCCCATATAAAATTGGTTTTTTTATTTAAATTTTTTTTGTTTTTTTTTTCGACCCAATCCAATTTATTAGGAAAAATGTGAAACCGTCGATTCTACGAGTTAACCGTCGATTCCGATTTCATGATATCTTAAACCATAACCAACCCATAGGTAGCCGGTTACGGTCCGGTTTGATTAAGGTTACTATTTTAACGGTTTCGGTTTGATTTTTTAACGGTTTGGGTTTGATTTTTTAACGGTTTGGTTTCGGTTCGGTTTACGGTTCAAATCGAACCGTTACCATGTCTAGCTGGAGATGTTACCTTTGTCGCGGTGTGAACGAGTGGCCATCAAGCCAATAGTTCACTCGGGCGACACAAGCTAGCCATAATCAATTCTTATGCTTCTATTTAAAGAGTAATTTTTCGACCTTTTTTATTAGGACTTTAACATGTCCTTTATATATATGTACAAGTATAGTTTAACTAGAATTCTAGACAATACAATAGATAAGAATTAGAGAGTACAAGTAATTAACAAACTCGCGAGTAGAGTTCTTGTAAGTAACAAACTCTAATGTCTGCGGCGAGTTTATCTCCGAAGTGCAACGAGGGCTTGTGGTGGTCGGCTCTTGTCTCGATACTCCCCTACAAGCCGACTATGGATGGGTTCCAATAGTGAGTTTATCCCTCAAGAATTCAAATCGGGCGAGTGGAAAGAGGTTTGGTTAGAATATCTACAATTTGATTCCTGTGTGGAAATGAACTTTACTCATAAGCTCCCCTTTGCAACCATGTCTCGACGAAACGAAAATCAATTTCTACGTGTTTAGTTCGTGCATGGAACACTCGGGTTTATCGCCAAATAAGTAGCTCCAATATTATCACACCAAATAATCGGCTTGTGAGCTAGTGTGGAGTCAAGCTCACCTAGTAAAGACATGACCCAAGTGATTTCGATTGCAAGATCCGCGATAGCTTTGTACTTAGCTTCGGTAGAGCTACGAGCTACTTGTCTTCTTCTTGGAGGATTTCCAAGTGATTAAATTCAATCCTAAGTAGACGAGCATACCCCCTGTAGATTTTCTATCATCCAAAGAACACGCTTGATCCGAATCGGAGAAGTCCGTCAATAGTTGAGAGTTGGATTTTTAAATGTGCAAACCATAAGTGTATGTATACTTCGGGTATTGCAAGATGCGTTTGACGATCTACCCAATGCTCTAAAGTAGGTTGGTGCATGAATTGACACATTTTGTTCACGGCATATGCAATATCCGGTCTAGTCAAAGTAGCATATTGAAGGGCATCTACAACTCGTCTATATAAAGTTTGATCGGAGAAGAATTCAGCATCTCCATTTTTCGGTTTTGAAGTGGTGGGCATGGGTATGGTGATGGGACGGTAGTCAAGCATTCCCTGTTTAGTAAGAAGATCATGGATATATTTACGTTGAGACATTATAATACACGTCGATGTTTTAATCACCTTTATGCCCAAAAAGAAGCTAATATCACCAAGGTCTCGTGTAGCAAATTTGGAGTTTAAAGCATATATTATTGTCTCTAAAAAGCTCGATGGTCATTGGTAATGATGATTTCGTCGACATAGACTAGCGAGGAATGCCCCGTAACCCTCGACTTTGTAAATAAATAGAGAAGAATCTGTTTTAGACCCCTCGAAAGCTGAAATTTAGGAGAAAGTCACGAAGACAAGAGTACCAAGCTCGTGGGGATCGTTTAAGACAATAGAGAGAGTGATACGACTTACGGACATAGTCGAGGAGCGACGAGTTAACAAAGCCCACTGATTGGGCCATATAGGCTAGCTTCATGTAAGGTGCCATTTAGGAATGCATTATGCACATTGAGTTGCTTGATGGGCCAATTGTATGAGACTTGCTAAGGACGAACAACTCGATAGTTGCCGAGCTTGACCCTTTGGACTAAAAGTTTCCCCAAAATCAATCCCCTCCTGTTGGTGAAACCCTTTGGCAACTAACCTTGCCTTGTACCTTTCTATGCTACCATCCGTATGTTTTTTGATTTTGAAGACCCACTTGTTCCCTATAATGTTCATAGCCTTGTGTAGGGAGTACTAGGGACCAAGTGTCGGTTTTCGAGGGAGCATTAATCTCCGACTCTATAGCCATTCTCCATGCCGCATGGCTTTTAGCTTCAGAATAATAAGTAGGACTTTACGGGATTCGTTGGAAAAGATACTACAAGAGAGGCTTTTGGACCCATATTCAGTAGAATCATAGGATGGGTTCGTTGTGGCTCCCCTTTAGATGATGAATTTGTAATATTACTGTACATCTGATTAGTCAAGTCATACTTGCTAAAATCTAGCTGTAAATTTATACCGGTGTGGTGGAGGTGCGAGCTTGGATTTTGGGAGTGGCAATTTGGGCTATTGGAGTTGGGGATAATGGGAGGGTGAGGTGCGGTTTGGTTTTGAGTTTGGGTTGTCACGGATTGGTGGGGTAGTGATCTATCCATGTGGGTGTGTTGTGTTTGGGGGCTAGCCATGGGGGTTTGTGGAGGTGGGTTTTGAAGTGGATTAGTGGAGTGATGCCGATCGGGTTGGAGTAAAGGAAGTGGCGGAGTGGGATACTAAGCCACGGGAGTGAAACGATAGATGAACTTGTGTTTATGACGGACGAGTGAATTTGTGAAAATAGAAATATCGACTCGACAAACCGGACATGACGATCAATGTAAAGGCGATTTTTGGTTTTGTCAAAACAACGATAGCCCATATATGATGGGCTATATCCTAAGAAAATGCAAGGTGCATATTGAAAATCAATTTTATGTTTGTTATAAGGTCTTAAATGCGAAAAACGAGAGACAACCAAAAATTTTTAGAAATGAGTAATTTGGGCTTTTCTTAAACACGAGTTCAAATGGTGATATATATTTGGTGATAGGAGAGGGCATTCCGTTAATCAAGAAAACAAGCTGTGTCAAAGGCATATGTCCAATATTGTTTGGGAACATGGGCCTCTACTAAGAGGGTAACGTTCGTTTCCACAATATGGTGATGTCGTCTCTCTACGATACCGTTTTACTCATGTGTGTGAGGGCACATAATGCGATGGGCGATTCCTATATTTTGGAAGAATTTATTTAGTCTTCGAAATTCCCCACCCCGATTGGTTTGGACTTGTTTGATTTTACAATTAAGCCGACGTTCAACCAGATTTTGGTATTGAATGAAAACATTATAAACATCTGATTTTTTACGTAAGGGGTAGAACCATATATATTTAGAGAAGTGATAAACAAAGATAACATAATATTTAAAACCATCAACGAAGTAGTAGGGGAGGGACCCCAAACATCACTTGAAAATTAAATTTAACATACTCGTGCTTGGATTGTTTGATAAAGGCAAAGATAGACGACTAGATTTTCCTAATGGACATGACAAGCATTGACTTGGATAAATTTAAAGGTTTTGATAAGGAGTACTTATGTAAAAGAAAATTGAGTACTCGATGGTGGGGATGACCCATTACGGAGTGCCAAGCGGGTGCAGAGACTTTTGCTTGAGAATGCTTTAGGACTCGGAGGTGGGATATGAAGCATGAAGGGAGTAGAGATCGACATCACTCCTGCTTGAAAGAAGTTTGGTCTTATGTACCTAGTCCTTAACACAAAACATGGAAGGGTGAAATTCTCAAAATAAGTTATTATCTTTAGCAAGGCGTTTCACGGATAATAGAGGTCGGGTTATTTGTGGGACATGTAACACATCAAGCAATTTAAGAGATCTAGCGGGAGTTTTAATATGACTTGAACCAATGTGCAAAATGGGTAAAAACTCACTGTTTCCAACTTGGAGTTGATCCTTACCCATGTATGGTTCATATGTGCTTAAGCTAGCCAAGTCGGGAGTCACATGATGTGAGGCACCGGTATCGGGACACCATGTATGTGAGCACCGCCGTGGAGTGGAGGAAGTCGTGATATTTGCAATGGGATGTTGTTGGCCGAAGTGGCGTTGTGGGCGGTGGATAGGTTGTGTGGCTCCGGGCATGGCAAATCCGGCATTTAGTGCGGCTGTCTTGGTTGCTCCGGTAGCCATGGTTTTCGAGTGAAAAGAGGTGTTTCCATACACGTTGTTGGAGCGGCCACGTCCCCTTCCTCTAGATTGTCTACCACGATTTCTATTGGAGTTCAAGTAACAATCTCTTTGGGATCGATAACTCCGAGCCCCTAGCCGCCATGTGAGTCTGTAGGAGGTGTGGGTAATAGAGGAGTAGCAAGTGTGGGCGGTAGGCCATATTGTGGTGGTGACACCGAATCCGAATCAAGGTGGAGAAATTCATCGCTAACTAAGAAGCTATGGAGGTCGGTGAATGTTATTGGTTCGGGACGTGTGGAGAGAGTAGTGATAATGTCCTTAAAGTCACTGGAGAGGCCTTTAAAGATGTAGATATTGAAGTCAATCAAGGGGAGAGGACGGCCAACTCGCTGTTAGTTCATCACTAATTGATTTGGCACGATGGAGGAAGGTAGAAGCTGATTCATGGTGATCCTGGCTTGGTACGCGAGCCGTTGCAAGGCTAGGTGCAAGCTCATTATCCGAGTGCTAGATGGGGAATCAAGGCCTCTTTCAAGTGTGAGCAAAACCTCACTAGATGTGGTGCAATCAATTACCATAGGAAGCACTTCGTTGAGAGGGAGGAGATGAGAGTGCTCATTAGAAGTTGGTCTTGCTGGATCCATGCTTTGTAAGCGGGGTTTTGTTGTGGAAGCCATCTTTGGAGGCTGGAATATGGCTGGGGGGCAAGGGAAAGATCCATCAATAAATCGAAATAAGTCTTGGCCAAGGAGAAAAGGCTTGAGCTGAATGCACCACACAACGGATAATTTGTTTGGGTGAGTTTCAAAGAGATGAAGTGGTGGGAGTTAGTTAGGTGACTCATTGGAGTGGTGGATTGGGGAATGGCTGACGCGATTTCAGCAGTGGTGGTGGGAGAGGTGGTGTTACTAGAGGAAGTCATTTGGTGCAGCTGATTTGGGCAGTACATGATTTGGGAAGTACGTGATATTTTGTACGTGATTTGGGCAGTACGTGTTAATGCTTGAAAGGGACTTGATTTCTAGTAGTGAAGGACGTGATTTGCAGCAAGTGAAAGGTTTGAAGGATGTAGTGATTTGCAATAGTGAAGGATGTGATTTGGGCAGTAGAGATATAATTTTTTTGGGGAGGGAGGAGGCAGCAGCGTCGGCTATTAGCCAAGGAGGCTCTGATACCAAATCAATTCTTATGCTTCTGTTTAAAGAGTAATTTTTCAATCTTTTTTTATTAGGACTTTAACATGTCCTTTATATATGTATACAAGTATAGTTTAACTAGAATTCTAGACAATACAATGGATAAGAATTAGAGAATACAAGTAATTAACAAACTCTACAGCAGAGTTCTTATAAGTAACAAACTCTAATGCTGCGGCAGAGTTTATCTCTGAAGTGCAGCAGAGCTTGTGGTGGCCGGCTCTTGTCTCAATAGCCATGAAGACTTCTTAGTAGAAAGAATCAACTATAATGCAACTGATGATTTTGGTTCTGCCAAACACGGCAAATTGTTTACACATTAAGCAGTTGATTATCACTATTGAACTTCTTACATGGTCTCAGGCTAGGCTAGGAACATGCGCGTATCCAAAACAGGTAGGAGATAGTGGTGCATGTTTTACGCGTAAAGGTGATGATTTCTAGCATTAGCATTTAAAAACACTATCAGTAAGTGGTTTATGAGTCATAGGCCATTCGACAGTAATTGTGAGCACCGTGTAAGAATAATTGCTCATGTTTACAATGCGGGATTCACATTTGGTAAAAAGGACTTGATTGATCCAAGTCGTATGAATATGGCAAACTGCATGTTTAGTAATTTCATCTTCTGATTAGGCTTGCATTGAAACAAACTTAGTCGATTCAGTTGAGAGAAAATGCATTACGCAATTTCGATCAGTCAATATAGAACTAATACAGAAGAATAATCCACTTAGAAGAATAAACAAGAAAGTCTCAAACTTAAGTAGAAATATGTGTAGTCAGAAGAGGAAAATATGTCCAAATAATTACAACCAAGAAAAGTCAATGGTTAAGCAATTCAAAATTTGCCACCTATTGAAACAACACCAAAATCGTGTGCTAGTATCTCAACATTTCAAATTTTAGGCATTGGCAAAGTGCGAATTACCCTGTTCTTGTCAAAATGAGAGTTCAAATTTTGATCATTTGTATGCGATTCGCATTGAAGGCTGTGCCTATAGCCTACCACCCACTTGACATTTTCAAACTTACAAGACCCATGTTTCTTCTTGCCCAGCAAAGCACAATCCCTTGCAATATTGCCTGCATATGACTTATTCAACACTTCTTGGTCAAACACATTGCACGTAAGCATTTTGAACCCGACCAAAATTTCTACGTTTTCAAAGAGTCGAATTAAGTCCAATAATACCCTACAAACAATTTGCTATAAATACTATCAACCACCTTCATATTTCCACACACCAACAAGAAGCACCAAAAAGCTCCGGCAAAAGAAACACATTCAAAGACATCGTTTTTTTCTTTAGTTCTATTCTTTGAGGCAATTTTGAGTGCATTTTCGAAGATGAATTTTACAAAAAGAAGCTACCTTTTAATCATTTTTGTCATCTTAGTTGGTGTCTTAAGCCAGCAACTGGTTAGTGTGCAGGCAGCAAGGATGTTGTCGGAGGAATTTGCAAGCGCAAATCATTTGGAGACATACTCTTCAGTTTATGAGAAGGCAAAGAACCATACGGCTTCTTGGCTAGGAAGGCTGGCATCAGGGCCCAGCCCCAAAGGCCCAGGTCACTAGTTCATTAATGACATGAGTGAAGGGTACCATAATTCTTTCTGTTTAATTTCTTCCTTTTAGTGTCAAAATATGCTTTAGACTTTGTTATAGGATTACGTGACACAATGCAATTAGTAAGAGAATTCTTTGATTATATAAATGATCTACTGGATTTTTCGTTTCTTAAGTTGGGAGTTTGATGTCATTAATTACATCGATTATTTTTATGTGGTAGAATTATATTTCTGTGCAGAAATTTTGATAAAAGAAATAGAAACGTTAGAAATTATGAAGCAATGTTACAAATAGAAATTTTCGAGGATTAACTTTTGTGTGGAGTCATTTGTTTTTAACGATAAGGGTATATTCATGTTAATTTTGAGTTACTAAACTAATTCTTTTCAGTCGAGTTTTAAGTAGACCATAGCCGTATACGAACTCGTGCATTAATCTCAAGAATTATTATTATTATTATTATAAGATTTGATCCATAAATACTATATGGAAGACATACCTACTTACCTCCGTTGATCAACCCACTTTATCTCCTCCATCACAGTACTCATCACACCCGTATCTAAAGATATCAATGTATGGAGTATAAAGTCAATATCCATTTTATTCGATCCAATAAATATTTATTGAATGTTGAAATAAATAAAAATAAAAATAATACAGATTTGCTAATATAATTTCAGAATATAAATATCTATTTTTTATTTTATTAATATTTACTAATATATTTTGATTTTTTTAAACATACAAAGATCTAATTGTATAAATTTTAAAAATTAAAAACCAAAATTTTTTTATAAAAACTTACGGATCAAAAAACTTATAGAGAAATGAGCAAAGTGTAAAAAAAATAAATTTTAAGGACCAAATTTTTTTTGTTGAAAATTATAGGAATTAAAATGATATATTTTTGATAAATTATTATTATTATTATTATTATTATATATATATATATATATATATATATATAAGCATGTAAATTAATGGAAAACAAATATGAGTCAGATAAATATTTATATAATAACTTTTAATGAATAATATATACAGTATTTTTTATGATTACAGTAAAAAAATTGAATTAATGAATCCAATATCCATCTATCACCATCCCTATCTCAATTCTTTCTAACCTTTTCTAAGTGGGTTTTTCTTGGTTCCTTAAGATATCCAATCGACGTTGCGTTACATAAATATGGTAACTCACGATTCGAATCAAGAAATCTAAATGAAAACTCAATTTAAACTGTTTTAGATCTCGGTGCTAAACTATATAAGTATATAAAAAGAGAAGTAAATAAAATTACCATGAGCCTATTATCCCCCAACGTTGAAAATTAAACATTTAACAGTCTGATAATTTATATTGTTGCCATTGTACAGTGACATATGTAATAACCTAAAATTTATCATTTTTATTTCATTTTATTCTTTTTTTTATTCATGTATGTCTTGTTTTATTTCAATTGAAATTTAATACAAAAAAAATGATGAAAAACACAAAAATATTCATTCAAGGGGCGTAATTGTACTTAAAGGAATGCATAATTAAGGTAATTAAGGATATAATCTAACCAATTGAAAATTTTAGAACTTAAATTGCACACTACAGGGACCCAATTGATAGAATTGTGCTTTACAACGACTAAAATTATACCACGTAAAGGCGTAATTGGTGAAACTAAAATGCACGGGGAACAAATTGGAATGTTGGAGCAGACAACGGGACCGAAACGTAGAAGACGACTTGTCATCCACTCCAAATCCAGATTCTCTTTGAAAATCCTTAGAAGAATATGTAAAATCTTCTACCAAATTTTCTGTTTTGATTTTGCATTAATCATGGATTCTTAGCCAAAATCAATACCAACAGAAAATCAAGCAATAATCAAATTTCTTGTTTTGATTTTGCATTAATCATGAATTAAAGAGGAAATATTTTGACAAAAAAATTCGGGATTGAGATTTGATTCTAGGAGAAATTCTATGAAGTTTTTGGCTATAAAACGGGTCCGATTTCATAGAAAAAAAAATTGGAGGAGGAATTTTGGTTGAGAAAGAGTGAAAAAACAAGAGCAAAAGATTCGAAATTTAAGGTGATAGGCTGTCGGGTTTCGGGTTTGTGTTCTTGGTGTTTTTGGGGTTACGGGTTTTAGGTCATCACTCGTTCGTCTCTTTTAGTCCTTTGTTTAGTGTTTTTCGGGATTGATTTTCCATCCTCAAGTGTTTCTCAATCCCACTTCCTAAAGTTTGGGTTCAAATTCTTCAATTCTCCGGCTCTATCTCCGAAGATTCTGGATAGTGTTCTTCATTTTCCGGGTAGCGTTGAATTTATTCTTCGGTGTTCTTCATAATTCGGGTCCTCTTTTTGGATTTTAACTATCATCCAAACAATCAACACCAATTGGGAGCTCCTCATCATCCGAGAATCAACCTAGCCGTTCATTTTTTTTATCCTCCCATCTCTCAAAGCAACAATCAATTGCTTCTCTTTAAGAAATCTTAGGTTGGTTTTTTTTTTCTTTTCTTTCTTTTATTTGCTTATTTTTCTAGTTTTTATGACTCGCCCTTTAAAGTTCTTGTTATTTGAGTTTTTTTTTTTATTTCAACTCGTTTTGGATTTTAGCTTCGTTGAAACGGGAAAAATATAAGTAGCTTAATTAACTTTTGGTTTGAAACAAGGGGTTTGATTCCAAAAAGAAAAAAAGAAACCGGAAAAATAGAGAGAGAATAAAAAGATTTGGAAGAACGGGAGAGAGAGAGAGTCGGTACGGTGTTTGATCCCTTTTTTTTTTAAATGTTCCCCGGGCCTATTTTTGGGTTAAAGCCCGGTAAGTAAAAAAAGAAAAATGACATATGGGCTGGACCGATTTTAGTCCAGCCCACCCATTCCTTTGCAAAAAAGAAGAAAAAAGAAAAAACAAGGGCTAGATTGTCCGAGTCCAGCCTGATCCGCCTCTTGAAAAAAAAAAAGACAAAAACGAGAGAGGCTAGAAGTCCAACCTCTCTCGGAAATAATAATAATAAAAAAAAATGTAAACAAAAAAAAAAAAAGAAGAAAAGAAAAAGAAAAAAAAGAGATGGGGTAGGAGAAATAAGTTGTGGGTTAATGGATTAGGTCTAGGATGATTTCTTTTTTTGATTTTATTCATTTATCTATCTATATATTTTTTTCTAGCTTGTTTATTTTATTCCTTGACGTTTTTTCTTATATTAATTGTTACTTCAATGCCTTTTTTCTTTTTTATGCATTGTTAGATAAAATTATAAAATTTTTAGTGAAGTCTCCTACACGGTAGGAATTGACGTCATAAGAAAAAAATCTAAAATTTTGGTGAAGTCTTCTACCTAGTAGGGATCGACGCCACAAAAAATATAAATAATAAATAATAATAATTTTAATAAAGTCTCCTATCCGATAGGGATTGACGTCACCAAAAATCACCTTTTAATCGGGATGCCCTCCGACAAACCGGTTGTGTCAAGGCCTATAGTGGATCCGATGTTTGAATCGACGTGTCGCCCGATGAAGGAGACCGACGATCGCTTCAATACGATACCACACTCGAAAATTAAAATTTCAATTCGGCTTTAAAAAATAGAAGTTTAGAAATCAGAAAATAATTTGATATTCTAAGAGATGAATTTAGAATTAAACCACACATGGTACTTTTTTTTAAAATGACACTTTTGGGTGATTAAATATCTTTCTAAAAACGTAACCAACTCCTTGCCGTAGAATCTTTGGACTAATGCTTATTTTTAGATTCCTAGTTTCTTCAATACTAGGCGGCCACTCTAAACATTATAAATAACTAGTAAACCTTAGGTCATAATTTTTTTTTGGGTCCCGTCCGATATCTAGTAACGACAACATATACATGACTTTTGAGAATGTAAATATGTCGTTTTCAGTATATACAATTTGTGTGTTGTTTTTTATCATGTGGTTTTTATTTATATATGGAAATGCAAAATTAAAATGACTATTTTCAACTTATTGACGAGACAGAATCGAAAGAAAAAAAATTGGAATACTAATGTTATCATATTGGTTAACAATTTTAATTTATTTATTATGATTTTGGAGAAAATTAAACTTTTGCTGTACGTTACTGAAACTCAACATTTAATTCAATAACCAAAACAATATGTTATACAAGAAACTCCTGTCTCTGCTCCCACAATGAGACATTGTACAACATATCAAGCCATCCGCTTTTCTTTTTCCTTCTTTCTCTTTTATTTCCTCTTTTTTTTTTTTTCGTTTTCAGACAATATTATTGTCAGTTTTTCCTCTTTCTCTTTAATTTGCAATATTAGTATTAATGAGTGGTTATTAATATTATTTTTGAATTTTTCAACCTACTCTTTTAAGTTAACAAAATAAAATCCACTTACTAATATAAACTTAACAAAATACGATAAAACAAGAAATATTAGTGAAATTAAATACAGAAGGGCATATCTGTGATAGAGAAATTTTACGATTTCTTCATTTATATATTATTTAGTTTAGGGGTGTAAACTAAGAAATTTTAGTGAAAGAAAAATGAATTCAAGAGTTTTTATTCAATTTTTAGTTTTATAAATGTAAAATAATATACATTTAATGAAAGGGAAGGGGACCAATAAACTTCTGGTATAATGATAATAAACTCTTTGTACATGCAAAACCTTATGGTTAAAATTCTTTCTTTAAAGTATTTAAGTAAAAACAAAAACAAAAACAAAATGAAAACCTTATTACAAGAGAAGCCTTGTAATGGTGGCCTAATTCATCGCGGCTCCTTACCCCACTGACAATTACTAATATAAAGCAAAGTATAATTTATGGAAATATAGGATGTAAAGTTTATCATCAAACAAGAGGTGTACTTTAATTTCTTTTCTCTAACCTTATCTAAAAGTTTACCGTCAAATATTTAGAATATAAATTATAACTTACGAAAATATAAGATATAAAGTCGTATTTAAAATAATTTATCCTTAATAATTTAATTAGTTTT